ACGTACACTAAATCGGCAGCCAATGAGACGTTGTCAATAGACAGGGAGGTGACCCCCCCTTACGACATGACTCCGCCCCTCTAAGAGAACGACGACATACGACATCTCACAGATAGCCAGCGATGACCACACCGACGGTGAGTGTCAGCCGTATAAACACACCCCCGAGTGGGTCATGAATACGGCGTTTATCGGACAAGTGGACCGCCGTATAGTGAACCCTATAGACATGAAAGAGGTGTTGCACCACAAGTCCAATACGTCCAACACATCGATGACCACATCCACTGATATCAGGACTGTAGGACTGAGTCCATCGCCCGGCCCACCGCCGCAGATAATTAACGGTGCAATCAATGCCAATACGCCTAATCTGGTCAAACCGCATATCATTAACGGTCGTACCGGTGCTCACCATAGGCACCACCACCACAACCTACCCGCCTATCGTATGGTTGAGCCCATACTTGAGGACAGTTGTGAGGAACTCAATGAGATTAAGGACAAGAAGTGCGTCGAAGGGACGGGTAGACAGACGACCGCTCACCACATGAATGGTGTGAATAGTGTTCACACAAACCATAGATATTATACCAAACCGTTGTGAATAACAAACCCGTTGTCAATAACTATAATAAAGTTGCCAAAACACGGCATACCCTGTGGGACGACCCTCCGGTTTGCTATCGCACCGCCAATGAGTCGATCAATGAGTCGTTTATATAATTTGCATGGAAATGGATTATTGTTTTGATTTCTGTCTACTTTTTATTATTTAATAATTGATTGCATGTACAGTAATTAATACAATACTACGGTATACACCGGTATGGTATGGTATGGTATACACCGGTAAATGTTGGTTTATATGCTTTATATATTTTATGATAGAAATAATTTTGATATAATCTCAGGTAAAATATATTATATTTTATGTTATCTAAATTCAAATGTATTTTTAATTCATTTATATTTGTTTGAATTGTTTTTAATAAAAGTTTTTAAAGTTAAGTACTTTTGACTCAATTTTGTTGGGCTCACAGATGGCACACCACTGGTCTCATAGAGTAACGTTGTTTGTGGACAATGCATTAGACATGTGTTTCCCTTTCCGTTACTGACAGTGAGTTTGTTGTGTTGACCACAAAACGTGAGTTTCATTCAAAACCATTTCACTGATCATTTTCAAGACATTTATCACCCAAAACCTGTTCCACACCTATAGTGACTACAAGTGATCACCGCGAAGATGGTTCAGAGGCTTACATACCGGCGCCGGTTGTCCTACAACACCCAATCCAATAGGAGGCGAATGTATGTCTTATTTTGTGACCACTTTTTGGCCATTATTTCAATGATTATCTGTGTTTCATGTGGTGATCATCGGATCCGATGGACAGTTCGAAGACACCGGGCGGTCGACTCGTGTATTTGTATCCCAAAAAGCACGGATCAGTCGCCAAATGCGGTGATTGTAAACTCAAACTGAGAGGAGTACGTACTGACCGACACACCCGTCCACTCATACCTCCCGTTCCTCTTAACTAATCACTCATTGCCTACACGACTACGGATCGTGTACTGCATACGAGTGCTAATTGAACGCCGTTTTAATTGTTTTGACTTTAATTAACGTGTGTTTTGTATGTCTGTGCAGATAGTGTACGCCCGGCCCCGAGAGCTGTCAGCCCTCTCCCGGCGCCACAAGACAGTGACCCGAGCCTACGGAGGCTCCCGATGCGCTAAATGCGTGCGAAGCCGGTAATGGCATACCTGTCCACTTGATTGTGGTTCGGGTGACATCTGATAGTGATTTATAACTCATTTTATTGTCTCTTTTCGTGGGCACCGGTAGTATTGTGAGGGCGTTCCTCATCGAGGAGGAGAAGATTGTGGCAAAAGTACTGAAAGCACAACAGGCGGCCACTCCTGCCGCCCAGACATCTAAATGAGAGCGTGTTTTGTAATGTATTTTTCGCCGAGAAATTAA